TAGGCTTTGGCAGAGAAAAGAATTTTTAAATTGGGAAGATACACAAATATATGTCAATCTGTGAGAGAGATATACTGTAACCCCGTTATAACGCTCATGTTTGGGTCCAAGGTGTTTGAGCGTTATACCTGAGGTTAACGTTGCAACGTGGTAACATCGTACAATGTATTATGATTCATGTTTCCTTGTATTATATTTCAGGAAGGTAAGAAGGCCTTTGACAAGCAGACACAGAAATTCTGTGCATCATTAGACCGTTACTTGAGTTTAAAAACCAAAGTTCCAGATTCACAGTTACAAGAGGTGAGTGTTTTGAAAGCTTTTGAAACCGTTTAGTGTTTGCTTTGCTCTGTAGGGAGAGCATTGGATTTGTAAGAGATGGGTAGCTGGTTTGGTCCTCAGTGACAAATGATTTCAGATATAAATTGAGTCTTGCGGTCATTTGTTACTCACTCCTTATTCAGGAATTATGCAAGATTGATAGTCTGAGAAATTGGTAATTAGTGCTTGGTATTGAAAGCTGGTCTGATGCACTAACCTCCAAGATATGACCAAATTCTGTTAACATTTAAATGAAAGCCAGACAAACAATTTCATGTTTAATTCTTCAGAAAATCAAGTTATTGGTATGGTTGAAATCAATTAATATTTTACGAACAAAAGGAAGTTAACTTTTTTAATTGGTTTTTATTAGCTCACCTGTCACAAAGTGACAGGGTGAGCTTTTGTGATCGCTTTTCGTCCGGCGTCCGTCCGTCCATCGTCCGTCCGTCGTCCGTCCGTCCGTAAACTTTTGCTTTAAATGACATCTCCTCATAAACCACTGAGCCAATTTCATCCAAACTTCACAGGATTGTTCCTTTGGTGGTCACCTTTAAAAATTATTCAAAGAATTTAATTCCATGCAGAACTCTGGTTGCCATGGCAACCGAAAGAAAAATCTTGAAATATCTTCTTTAAAACAACCCTAAGAGCTAGAGCTTAGATATTTGGCATGAAACATTTTCTAGTGAGTGTCTACCAAGTTTGTTCAAATAAAAGCCCTGGGGTGAAAATTGGCCCCGCCCCAGGGGGTCATTGATTTTCCCTATATGCATATAGTAAAAACTTAAAAAACTTCTTTTAAAGAACCCAAAGAGCTAGAGCTAAGATATTTGGCATGAAACATCTTCTAGTGAGTGTCTACCAAGTTTGTTCAAATAAAAGCCCTGGGGTCAAAATTGGCCCCGCCCCAGGGGGTCATAGATTTTCCCTATATGCATATAGTAAAAACTTAAAAAAATCTTCTTTTAAAGAACCCAAAGAGCTAGAGCTAAGATATTTGGCATTAAACATCTTTTAGTGAGTGTCTACCGAGTTTGTTCAAATAAAAGCCCTGGGGTCAAAATTGGCCCCGCCCCAGGGGGTCATTGATTTTCCCTATATGCATATAGTAAAAACATAAAAAAATCTTCTTTTAAAGAACCAAAAGAGCTAGAGCTAAGATATTTAGCATGAAACATCTTCTAATGGATGTCTACCAAGTTTGTTCAAATAAAAGCCCTGGGGTCAAAGTTGGCCCCACCCCAGGGGGTCATTGATTTTCCATATATACATATAGTAAAAACTTAAAAAATCTCTTTTTAAAGAACCCAAAGCGCTATAGCTAAGATATTTAGCATGAAACATCTTCTAATGGGTGTCTACCAAGTTTGTTCAAATAAAAGCCCTGGGGTCAAAATTTGCCCCGCCCCAGTCATTGATAATCCCCATATGCATATAGTAAAAACTTAAAAATCTTCTTATAAAGAACCAAAAGAGCTAGAGCTGAGATATTTAGCATGAAACATCTTCTAATGGATGTCTACCAAGTTTGTTCAAATAAGAGCCCTGGGGTCCAAACGGGCCAGGCCCTGGGGGTCATTGATTTTCCAAATTTCCTTATATGTGTATAGGAAAAACTTAAAATATCTTCTTTGGAAAAAAACAAATAGCTAGAGTTTAGATATTAAACATGAAACATCTTCTAGTAATTGTCTACAAAGTTTGTTCAAATAAAAGCCCTGGGGTCAAAATTGGCCCCGCCCCGGGGGACATTGATTTTCCTTATACGAGTATAGCAAAAACTTAAAAATCTTCTTTGAAAAAACCTGAATAGCTAGAGTTTAGATATTAAGCATGAAACATTTTCTAGTAAGTGTCTACAAAGATTGTTCAAATAAAAGCCTTGGGGTCAAAACTTGCCATGCCCCAGGTGTGTCATTGTTTTTAACTATATGTGTAAAGAAAAAACTTAAAAAAATCTTCTTTTAAAAATCCCAACGAGCTAGACCTTAGATGTTTAGCATGAAACATCTTCTAATGGTTGTCTACCAAGTTTGTTCAAATAAAAGCCCTGGGCTTAAAACTGGCCCCGCTCTGGGGGCCATTGTACAGGTGAGCGACTTCAGGGCCATCATGGCCCTCTTGTTGTAAGAAAAGGAAATTATTGACATTAAATATGTATCTGTGCCAGTTAAATAAAATGATACATGGCAACAATTTCCCTTTCTTTTATTATGTATAATGAAATACACGATGGAGGTCATCAAAGACATTAGTTAAGCAGCGTGCCTTCAGATTCAGGCTAATTTCGTGAATATTTTGGAAATGACTTATTAATGTATCTAAGTAAAATGTTGTGAAGTGAACAAAGGAAGTAATACACATGATGCAAATGGCACTAACAGTCCATCTACAGACCAAAAAGAAGTCAAAATATGTAAAAATACCCTGTAATACACAAGTCATGCTGTAGAAATATAGTGATTAGTATTGCAAAATCAATCATTTATCAAACATAACATTGAATCTTTTTACTTCTCTTAAAGTCTTATTTAAATTTGTAACATCCAAGGTTATTCCTGTTTTGGCATCATATGACCTAAGCTGTAAAACTAACCAAATAAAACAAACAAAATAGTACATTTTCCTCAAGTTTGAGTTTCTTGAAATATTTTTGCTCATCTTGAGGCACACGGCTTTCAAAGATTTTGTGTTAAAAAATCTGCACTCGTTTCTTGGATCATACTACCAAGTGATTGATAAATAAGTTCAAATATGATATATGATAATTTTTCCCCCTCTCATACCTATTAAGGGGTGAGAAAATGGGAATACTCAGTTGGTCCTCCAAAAATAAAAAGATAAAAAAAATGAAAAAATAAAGTTTAAAAAACAGTTTTCTAGTATTAACTTGTTACCTTTTAACAAGAAATTGGTGTTGAAGATGCAAAATATAGGAATTCTGTCTCATATTTTTGCTCCACTCACTGAAGCACTTAGCTTATATAAACATCAATATTGTCAAATGAAAATTATATTACAAACATGAGCATTCCTTTTATGTTTTCATGTTCATATAAAGTTAAAAATTAATTTTCAACCTGCTTAGCATCGAAGGGAAAGGATAAAATATGTAATCCAGGGGGAGCTAGTTTAATTCTGAAGCGAGGGGAAAATTCTCAGGCGAGGGGAAACGTTGGCTTAGATATTCAGTCAAATGGCCAAATTATTATGTCTCACTGAGATGTTTAAAAAATCATTTTTGATCAATAGTCGGTCACTTGCAGAAAAATTAATAATAACTGGTAAGTTACCTACCGGTATGAAAGCTTGTCTTGTGGATCGACTGTTGAGACATGTTAAAATCTCCATAAAAACCAGATTAACAAACAATAAAAATGATGTTTATCGTTATGGTAACACTGTATGTTTTTTCTCCAACAGAATGATGCTCAGTTAGAACTGGAAAGACGAGGGTTTTATGAACAGTCTATGAAATATGTGTTACAGTTACAAGAGGTGCAGGAGAGGAAAAAATTTGAATTTGTTGAAATAGTAAGTAGCGGGGACTTCGTAAGGGATATGCATGGGAATGAGGCACCTTGCGGGGACTTTGCAAGGTTATTTGCCTTTAGTCGCTGTGGGTTCAACTCCTGACAGGGCCTTTTGGGTCTCTATGTGTGGAGGATACCAGCTGGTTAAGTGAATGTCTCTGGTTCTACCTTGAAATAATGCATATTAGGTCTTCCTGTTGTACAAATGGACAAGTAGAAATTTTTCACTAAAACGCATCTTTCACTTTGTGTAGATTAAAAGTTGATGTAAATAGGTCTGAGTAATTGTTTGGTTGTGTGTGTAACAGTTTTTAGCTATTCTTAGAGCTAATGTCAGGAGATCTAGTAAATGCTGAAATCCCTTAAGGTTTTAATGGATTGTTCCAGATTTGAAAAAGAAGGAGTCCATTTCACAAAGTCTGCAGGGTAAAGGTTCAAAATATGATTCTTGTCAGACATAAGTGAACATTACAATAAAATTTTGCAAGTTAATTAAGCAGGTATCATTGCTTTATTTGTAAAACTTGAAAATATAGTTATCCCCCGCCGATGGAATCGGGAGGGGGATATAGTTTTCGCGTTGTCCGTCCGAATTTCGTTTCCGGAGTAGTTCTCTGCAACTACTGGCTGGAATTTAACGAAACTTTATGGGAATCATCAATATCAAGAGGAGATGCGCATATCGTCGGCTTGTTCCGGTCCGACCCTTTAACTCAGAGTTATGGCCCTTGATTAGTTATGTAGTATGCATATAGAGTAAAAATCGTTTCCGGAGTAGTTCTCTACAACTACTGGCTGGAATTCAACGAAACTTTATGGGAATCATCAATATCAAGAGGAGATGAGCAAATCGTCTGCTTGTTCCGGTCCGACCTTCAACTCAGAGTTATGGCCCTTGATCAGTTATGTAGTATGCATATAGAGTAAAAATCGTTTCCGAAGTAGTTCTCTGGAACAACTGGCTGGAATTCAACGAAACTTTATGGGAATCATCAATATCAAGAGGAGATGGGCATATCGTCGGCTTGTTCCGGTCCGACCCTTTAACTAAGAGTTATGGCCCTTGATTAGTTATGTAGTATGCATATAGAGTTAAAAACGTTTCCGGAGTAGTTCTTTGGAACTACTGGCTGGAATTCAACGAATCTTTATGGGAATCATCAATATCAAGAGGAGATGGGCATATCGTCGGCTTGTTCGCGGTCAGACACTTTAACTCAGAGTTATGGCCCTTGATTAGTAATGCAGTATGCATATGGAGTAAAAATCGTTTCCGCGCTACTTCTCTGCAACTACTGGCTGGACCAAGAGGAGATGCGCATATCGTCAGCTTGTTCGGGTCAGACACTTTAACTCAGAGTTATGGCCCTTGATTAGTTATGTAGTATGCATATGGAGTAAAAATCGTTTCCGGAGTAGTTCTCTGCAACTACTGGCTGGAATTCAACGAAACTTTATGGGAATCATCAATATTAAGAGGAGATGCGCATATCGTCGGCTTGTTCCGGTCAGACTCTTTAACTCAGAGTTATGGCCCTTGATTAGTTATGTAGTATGCATATAGAGTAAAAATCGTTTCCGCACTACTTCTCTGCAACTACTGGCTGGAATTCAACGAAACTTTATGGCAACCTTCAATACCAAGAGGAGATGCGCATGTCGTCGGCTTGTTCCGGTCAGACACTTTAACTCAGAGTTATGGCCCTTGATTAGTTATGCAGTATCCATATAGAAAAATATTTGTTTCCTCGCTACTTCTCTGCTACTACTGGCTGGAATTCAATGAAACTTTATGAGATACTAAGAGGAGATGTGCATATAGTCGCCTTGTTCCAGTCAGATACTTATAACTCAGATTTATGGCCCTTGATTAGTTATGTAGTATGCATACATCTCATTGGCATTTCCAGATTTTACTATTTAACACAAAGTTATGGCTCTGTTATTGCCCTGAATATTTATCAAGTTCAAAGAATATTACTGTTTATGCCATGATTAATATATAAATAAAGCCTTATGTCTTCAGTTGTTGTGTTAATTTCTAAATCAGTGTATTAAATAGATTTGCCTTGCTTTAAAGGGATACTCAGGCAAAATAATGGCAAAAAATTAAAAATGATTTTCTGTTCTCAAATCACCCTAAAATGACATTTCTTAAAGTCCCAACATGAATTTCTGTATAAATTCTATATATTTTGGGTTTGAAGTTTAAATATATCTATATATGTTGAACGAAATTTTGACGCGAACAGAATCACCGAATAGTTTAAAAACAAGTCATGCGATTTGAACAAACCCTGGAAGTTACAATAACAAATATTGTGGATATTGTATGATTGAAACAAGTCTAAGTAATTGATTTTACATGTTTTTTAACGTTTCCAGAGTACAGAGTGACAACTATTGTGAAATTTTAGCGCTCTAACCTGACCCACGCGGGTCAAGTTAGGAAAACACCATTTTATTCTTTATATGGAGAAAAGTTTTGTTCCTTTGACTGTTTAGTGTATTCATTTTGAGGACATTTACAGAATAATGAATGAAAATTTCAAAACTAAGAAATGAAAATTTTGCCTGTGTCTCCCTTTAAAGTTGGATCTTTAATCGGGAGAAAACCATTCTTTCTTTTTGTGGAAAATTTCAAAATAAGTACAGACTGAAAAGCAACCAGTGCAGACCGTGATCCATGGCAGGGACCTCATCATTAATACAAGTTACCTCCAGCAAGCTAAGAGGATATCCATTATAGAATTACATACCTTGGGAAGCCACCTGTATAAAGTCATGTCAGATTGCCCTGATTTTGCTCAATTCTTGTGGCATAAAAAAGTACTTTCTCATATAGTCACTATTACTGATGAAGGAGTAAAGGAATATTCTAACTCTATTTCAGCTTCTTGTGTTCATGTACAGTTTGCTAACATTTTATCATGAAGGTAAGTGCTAAATTTGTATTTCTTTACAAAGATTTTCATCAAGAATGTGAAATGACTAATATTATTTTGCAAATACTTGTTACCTTCCCATGTTTATGTTTCCTTTGCAAGTTCAGGTCTCTTTATAATGTGTATGTTTTCATCTGTTAAATTTCTTTTATTCTACTAGAGTTCAATGGGGCGTCTGTGGCCAAGTGGTTAAGGTTGTTGACTTCAAACCACTTGCCCCTCACTGCTGTGGGTTTGAATCCCAACAGGATCTCTCGATTCTTTCATGTGAGGAAGCTTTCCAGCTAGCTTACGGAATGTCGGTGGTTCTACTCAGCTACTCCGGTGCCCGTTTGTGCCTGAAATAATGCATGGAAGGGCACTTGAGGTCTTCCTCCACCAATAAAGCTGGAACATCGCCATATGACCTATACTGTGTTGGTGTGACGTAAAGCCCAATCAAACAAACAAACTAAAGTTCAAATTCTATCCTTGTATTCATGCCAACTTCCGAGCTAAATATTTCATTATTCATTGGTAAATTGTTAGTGTTTCAACCACAGATAACAGTTTTCTTCACATGGTAAATGTTCACTGCCAAGCAAATATTATGTTTCTTTGCTCATGTTTTTGTTTCCCTCCTATGGTTAATGTTTACATTGTCTAACTTCAGGTCATGAAACAGCTGCTGATAGTAAACCATATTTAGCCACCCTTCAACATACATTACAAAAGGTAAGTATACTACTGGACATGAAATTTTGTGGTTTTGTCACAAAAGACATTTTTGTGGGTACTTAAATTTGTGGCCTGTTTATTTTTTCCAAAAGATAAAATGTAAATAATGTGATGTAAAATAATCTTACAGCAGACAAAATGAAATTTTGTTGGATCTTAGATTTGTGGATTGACCTATCGACAAAACCATGAAAATTTGTAACCCACGAATGATAATGTTTTTGCAGGATTACTTTAATTAAAAAAAAAAAATCCAGTTTTTAGAAAAAATCAGTAGTATAACTTATAAAAAGTAATTTCAGAGAATAATGAATCACAAAACCCCCTGCTACTTGAGGTTTATAAAAATATGAATACTAGGCTTCTCATTCTCAACAATGACTTTATGCTTGACAAATGTTTTGGTTGTACATACAGTGTCTGGTTTTGTCCTACATTTTCCTCCTCTATCCTTAACACAAACTTCCAGTTTATCATACACATCATTCAGTTATCCTGGCATGGTTTCAGGTTGATTGGTTGGTCAAGATCAATGTTACCCAAGCTAATGAAAGACAAGTCTACTTTTCTTCATAAAAAAGCCATGATTTAGCTTGGAAAATATAATATCAAAGCATCCAGCACTGAGCAGTGTCCTTGTTTTCAAATTATACCATATTCTAACAATTTCTTTTCCAAATCAAATACAATAAATTGATTTAGGATCGGATTTAACCTGAAAAATTGACACAGAATTATTCACCCAGAATATTGTTATCACATGTGTTATAGAACTGGTATAATTGATTGATAATATTATGTCACTGTGAAAAAAGCAGACCTCTTCTTCAAAGAGTGCTCATTTTGTCACTGCAAAAGACCTATATTTGCCAAAGCCAGTCTCTCCTTCAAAAGCTCTTAAAATGCTTGAAATGTGAGATTAGTCTTAAGACAATCATGTGACCACTTTTATACCATGCATGTGTAATACACATACAGAGTTTAATTTCCTCTCAAAACTTATTGATTCTGTAATGTACACCTTTTATTCCTCATGAATATTTCATTAAGCACATAAAGATGTCACTAATTGGTGTAATATTTATAAGATTTTCTGTGTTTATACAGAGAGCTCTTGTCATGCATTTGGTAAAGATTTTTTATGACCTGCTTCAAGGAGCTATGATGTGAATAATACAGTTTTCACTTGGCATAGAGGGAATAACTTTTAAGTTGGAAATGCTGTCAAACTGCAATTTTCAGTGGCCAGTTTGTTTAGATGATTGACCCTAAAGTTCTTGCCTTCTCCGCTGTGTGTTTAAATCCTATTAAGGACTTTTGATTCTCCCATGTAAGCTTAGCCAGCTAGCTTACAGAAAATTGGTGCCCTGAAATAATGCACGAAGGGGCATCTGAAGTATTGCTCTATCAGTAAAACCAGAAATTGGCCATATGACCTTTGCAATGTTGCTTTGACTAAAAGACAATGTCTTTGGTTTTTGTATCAAGCACAGAAAATATTATAGTAGGCAGTCCAATTAACAAGGCTCTTGGCACAGTTTTATGTCACCTGACCTTTACATTTAATATAAACTAATTTCATAACAAAATTTTGTATGATTATTTTTTTTTTTTATAGACACGGAACAATTTTGAGACAACAAGGGAACAGGCAGAGAGTCTGATGTTGAAAATGTTGGATTGCCGTGGCAATGTAAGTATCCTGTCAGATGTCCAGAATTTGTTGCCGGCTCAACTCAAGTTAAATCTTCTCAAATTGGGAATTATTTTCTTTTCTGCAATAATTTACTAAGGAGGGGTATGGAGATGGGGGAAATGTTTTAAAATGTTACGCTTCAAGTGATTTTAAAAGTTGCTTATATTTTGTGGTGTTTTATTTTGCTGTGATACATTCTATGCTAGTGCACAGGTGTCAAATTCTGTTTTATGGGTAAACTTAAACTTGTTTAAAAACCTTGTTTCCTTTTACAGGTTAAAAAATGTTGTGTAACAAAAGGTTTTTATGAGTATCAAATATACATATTCAAAAGCTATTTTTGTTGACCATATAACTAGAGTCATATGTGCCATGATATCCAGGCTTAAGAATTGAAACTGTAAGAAATTAATCTCATGTTTGAGAAGTTATATGGAAGAGTTGAGCTTGCATTATCTACTGGCCTTGCATCACATTTGAGCCGCGCCATGACAAAACCAACATAGTGCGTTTGCGACCAGCATGGATCCAGACAAGCCTGCGCATCCACGCAGTCTGATCAGGATCCATGCTGTTCGCTATTAGTTTCTCTAATTGTAATAGGGTTGGTAAGTGAACAGCATGAATCCTGATCAGACTGCGCAGATGCACAGGCTCGTCTGGATCCATGCTGGTCGCAAACGCACTATGTTGGTTTGTCATGGCGCGGCACATTTGTCTTTCTGAAATATATATCCCAGAAAGAAATTAAGTCATTTCACTAAAAAAGGTTAGTTTATGCTAGTCCTGGATTGAAGTGTAATAAAGATTATATTATATAACCTCCATATAAAATTGCTAGTGTACTGCTTCGCTGTTTATATGGGCAAAATCATATAATTATCACGGGCAGAATTATATGATTTTATATATATCTAAAATCATGTAAAATTGTTGAAATTATCTTTGTGTCTTTAGAACAATATATGGGAGATACTTTCAAATTTGGTTTTGTATACATGTATAAACCATATTATATTAAATATTTAGGGAAAATGTCAAATTTGGCCATATATTTGGAATTGATGAGGGAAAATGTTAAATTTGGCCATATATATTTGGAATTGAGCAGGGAAAATGTCAAATTTGGCCTTACATTTAAATTCTTATTGATAATTTGTTTAGAATTTCATAATGACAATGAATATAATTTAGGTTTCGGGCATAAAATAAAGTGGTTTGGGAAGAGTAGTGTTTAAGCCCTCTTTAACCTTTTCCCTTATATAAGCGTGTTTCGACGGCTTTTTGCCCCCCCCCCTTTTTGAGGCCTCAAACAGTGAAAAAATGTCCTACTTAGACCCCAAACACTGTTTTTCGTTTGAGAAATGTTGTTTAAAAAAGTGACCATTTTTTTCGGCGCCGTCCCCCCATCCAAATAATACATCAGGGGTTGCCAGAAAGGGGGATGTGTGCCCCCTTCTGTTTGGGGGGTTTGAAGGGGGGCGGAGTTCCCCTCATAGCCAAGAAAATTTTGGACTTGTGAGAGGCTTAAAATGACCCCATGTTGATCATAAGGTAACGTGTAACCAACACTGAAAAGCCTTTGACTCTATCTCAATCCCTTGAGAAGTTGCAGCACTTTGAAGTAAATTTTGATGGAAAAAATCGAGGCAAAAAAGTGATTTTTGGCAATTTTGAGATGCCCCCTCGTTGCCATGGTAACAGGAAATTTAAGACTGAGCATGTTGTTACAAAGGCAATGGTCCAGTCAACATTTGTGCCAAGTTTGATTAGTATTGAAGCATTTTTTCATAGTTTCATAGCAGTTTGAACTTGTAAGAGGAGGCTTTTCAGTGAAAATGGCCATTTTTCACAATATGCTCATGGGGGAAAGGGTTAACTAAAAAAATTATAAAATGTTACAAAACAACAATTTTTCACCCAAATTAGGTAAAAGACTACATGTTAACATGGAAAAACTAGATTTTGGGTGATTCCAAGGTTTTCATCATTTTTTGTTAACCTTTTCCCTTATATAAGCGTGTTTCGACGGCTTTTTGCCCCCCCCCTTTTTGAGGCCTCAAACAGTGAAAAATGTCCTACTTAGACCCCAAACACTGTTTTTCGTTTGAGAAATGTTGTTTAAAAAAGTGACCATTTTTTCGGCGCCGTCCCCCATCAAATAATCACATCAGGGGGTTGCCAGAAGGGGGATGTGCCCCTTCTGTTTGGGGGGTTTGAAGGGGGGCGGAGTTCCCCTCATAGCCAAGAAAATTTTGGACTTGTGAGAGGCTTAAATGACCCCATGTTGATCATAAGGTATCGTGTAACCAACACTGAAAAGCCTTTGACTCTATCTCAATCCCTTGAGAAGTTGCAGCACTTTGAAGTAAATTTTGATGGAAAAAAATCGAGGCAAAAAAGTGATTTTTGGCAATTTTGAGATGCCCCCTCGTTGCCATGGTAACAGGAAATTTAAGACTGACCATGTTGTTACAAAGGCAATGGTCCAGTCAACATTTGTGCCAAGTTTGATTAGTATTGAAGCATTTTTTCATAGTTTCATAGCAGTTTGAACTTGTAAGAGGAGGCTTTTCAGTGAAAATGGCCATTTTTCACAATATGCTCATGGGGGAAAGGGTTAACTAAAAAAATTATAAATGTTACAAAACAACAATTTTTCACCCAAATTAGGTAAAAGACCACATGTTAACATGGAAAAAACTAGATTTTGGGTGATTCCAAGGTTTTTCATCATTTTTTGTTAAACCTTTTCCCTTATATAAGCGTGTTTCGACGGCTTTTTTGCCCCCCCCTTTTTGAGGCCTCAAACAGTGAAAAAATGTCCTACTTAGACCCCAAACACTGTTTTTCGTTTGAGAAATGTTGTTTAAAAAAGTGACCATTTTTTCGGCGCCGTCCCCCATCCAAATAATACATCAGGGGGTTGCCAGAAGGGGGATGTGCCCCCTTCTGTTTGGGGGGTTTGAAGGGGGGCGGAGTTCCCCTCATAGCCAAGAAAATTTTGGACTTGTGAGAGGCTTAAAATGACCCCATGTTGATCATAAGGTAACGTGTAACCAACACTGAAAAGCCTTTGACTCTATCTCAATCCCTTGAGAAGTTGCAGCACTTTGAAGTAAATTTTGATGGAAAAAATCGAGGCAAAAAAGTGATTTTTGGCAATTTTGAGATGCCCCCTCGTTGCAATGGTAACAGGAAATTTAAGACTGAGCATGTTGTTACAAAGGCAATGGTCCAGTCAACATTTGTGCCAAGTTTGATTAGTATTGAAGCATTTTTCATAGTTTCATAGCAGTTTGAACTTGTAAGAGGAGGCTTTTCAGTGAAAATGGCCATTTTTCACAATATGCTCATGGGGGAAAGGGTTAAACAATTTTTGTTTCAATGCATTTGACCTTAGAAATGGTCTGTTGATTTTGTCTAGAGATTTCAATATCAAAATATAATTGGTGTGATTAAATTCAGCTTCTAATGCTATTAGTGTGTTTTGGCTGTACATGTAAAATGGATTGGGACATTATGACTAATGTCTACAAATTCACCATTGCTCATAAAAAGTTAACATTGCAATGTACACGGAACATTCTTTTATTGAAAATATTTGTTCAGTCACTTGAGTTAGCTAAGGAATGGGTTTTTATTTTGGCTGAGTCATCAAATTTCGATATCACAACATGCAGTGATGGCATTATTGGAAAATTGTTGTTTTTTTGGCTGCATTCTTAGTGTATTTTGGGTGTCTTTAGTGGTAGAGCAAATTGTTAACAATGTTTGAAAAGTTAAAATTGATATTTTGAAGCCACAGTGGTCACATTTGCATGAATATTTACTGTGTTTTCCTTTTATTTTCTTTATTTTTCTTTATTTTTTTTTTTTTTTTGCTATTGAATTCAAATTCTTGATAGCATAGAATAACATATTTACTTTTCACTGTTTTTTCTGTAATGGCCAATTTTGTTTAGGAAAATTGCCCAATTGTTATTAATTAAAGAGGAACAATATCAAAATAACAAATTATGGCATTGATTGTAACAGTAAAGATAGTGGCTAGACAGTTTAGGAAAGGAAAATTAGGCTCATCTTGCTCTGTACAGATGTGGATGAAGAGTCACATTTTGACTGCCAGCATCTAAGAAATATTTAATATAAACATAATATAAAGGCCGGATAATTTTTGTTTAGAAATTCAGGTCAATTTTATAAAATAAAAAAGGAGACAAAGAATAAGAACTATCCCTCCCAAACTGAGCGTTACTTTAGATGCCACTTGCCCCTCACTATTGTGTGTTCAAATCCAGCAAGGGCTTTTGGATTCTTTTTTGTAAGGAAAAATAAAAAAAGGCCTTTGGTTTTAATTGGTGCCTGGTTTGGCCTGAAATAATGTAATGGATGAGTGCATGGCGTCTCTCAACCATGGTAGTCCTGAAAAATTGCCTTATGTCACTTCAACAAGCTTGTTAAGTAAATTGAAATCTTTTAGGGTATCAGCTTTCCAGTAATATTTTAAAATCCCCAACAACCTCTTGATTTAAAAAGTTAAGGCCCTATCCATCTACTTGTAGTTTGAATTGTGCTTAAACAATCCAGTTTGTTCATATTTGAAAAAATTTAATCCCATATAGTATTCTTAAACCTTGGAAAACTTGGATTTACCCCAAGCCTGCTTTTGGCAACTATTGGACTCTCTACCCGTGTAACCAGTGCAGACCAAAGAGCTGCTGGCACATACATACTGTCTTATCATGGTCTATTCAGTCAGTATATATTTGGAAATTTCCCTAAAAAAAATGATAAATGGTTTTGTCCACATTTTAAAGATGGACAAGTCCATTAAAGATGTTTTAGTCGGGTAAGGGTTAAAATCTTTACATGTCATTGGTTTTTTTTTTATTCCAGTTATTTCTTTTTTTTTTTTGCTTTCAACATTAATTTTAATAGCTTTTAATTTTCTGGTATTTTTCATAAAATGTTTTTTGTTTTTTTTTACACTAATATTTTGGTTGTTAGGATATTTTTCTATTTATTTTAGTGTTTTAGATAGAAATAGTCAAGCAAACAACTTGTTTTGATTAGTATTGAAAAAGAAGTTGTGTATGTGGGGGGGGGATGAAGGACTGGATTTTTTTCTCTCAATAATTCAATAACTTTTTTTTTAAAGGTATGCAATCTTTAAGCATAGAATAAACTGTCGGCAGCTAACAATTCAGATAGTTTTGAATCTTTGTTGTGAGAAAGAAAAACTTATAATGCCTGTTGTTTAAATTCTAGTTATGAGAAGTTTTGTATTACCTATTAGGCCACTGCTTTGAAAGCACACAGCTTTGTCATGAGGAAAGGCATAATTAATATCACTATTGCTTTAGCCATAGTTATAAGGAGTGATATATGAGTTAGATGCAACTGCCCTGAAAGCAACACAGCTTTGTTATGAGGAAAGGCATAATTAATATCCCCATTGGTTTAAGTTGTA